GTATAAACACCATGTCTTGAAAAGTAAACTCTGAAGTTCTGCTTATAAAGAGAGAAACCCTATATAGGGGATTTGATGTCAGTACAATAAATTTTGCATGATGATATATACTCTTAGACTGTACATATTGATGGGATTTCACTACCAGCGAGAAGTGGCTGAAGGCTCGCAAGGAAAGAGCCGGACACCAGCCATCATTGGAACACCCGGTGGCATAAGCGAAAGGAGAATACATCGCCTGCTGGCAGGCGATCCCATATAAACGGAATCTGATACAATGATCCCGGGTTCATTAGAATCAGGCTGAGATAGGCAATCGGTCTCCAAGCCAGTGGGACATAGGTATCCAAGACCCAACTCAAGAATGCCAACGTCAGACCAGCGTCCAGCTGACAATTCCAAACTTGCACGCAGTTCTAGTGGAGGAGGAAGAAGAGGAGATAGATCCATTCGACCCTCTGAAGAAGCGGATACCCGGTCACCTGAGGTCGGAAGGCTAGACAATTCATCTGCAAGATGCCAGCAACTTTCTGGGGGTTGCCAGTGGAAAAGACGATGAGCTGAACCCGCAGTGGCTGATACAGGGTCGATACCAGATGATGGACACACGCGATCAGATCGGTAGCCAGGCGATAATCTGGAATCTGGTGTACTAGATGGATCTAAAGAACGCGCTATTTTAAGCCGCTGAGTAGGCAAACTTGAAGATGTGCTTAGGATAGAAGCTGAGATGGGATCCGGACGCCGAAAAAGGACGAAGACACGTTTCCTAGTGCAAAGAGAAATAAAGAGTCAAAAAAGAACAGAAATAAAATGCTTATCAAAATAAAAAATAAACGAGATCAAATGATAGGGTTTGGATTCTAGAGTGGCTGCAACCAGCGGTCCGATGTGTAAAGAATATAAAAGTAAATGGAAGGTTATTCAGGGGCAATATATTGATCGAGAAATTATTCTGGAGTCTAAAATAGCTAACTGAATGTTTGATACGTAGATATGAAGACTAGGATGTTATGGCCTCTATTTTGGTGGCAGTCTCCTTTGGATGTATAGAAGTGGC